CACCATTTAATGTTTATTTTTTGTTTTCTTCAGATGAGCTAAGCTGTTTGGGATGCAGAATGTTTGATAATTGTTAAAACCTATACTTGTGCCTGTCTTGAGTGGAAACTCAACTGAGACACTCCTTTTGTGGCTTGGCTGCTTTGAACACTTGAACCTTCACGATATCTTGAGGAAACCACACTCCAGCTTCCAGCATCTCTGCTATTCTAGCTGCCCATGCCTCCACTTCTGCCTCAGCCTTGACTGCGCTAGCCAGCCTGCACCTGGACAAGGCAAGCCTAGGGGAATCCTCCAAGCCTAGTCAGCTTGTGCTAGTCTTTCTTAGACTGGAAAGGAAAGAGTTTGCCTCTGCACCTCAGGAAAAAGCTGTGATGGTTACAATGAGAAGCTTGAGTGTGGTCACTATGTAAGGTTTATTATTATTTTCTTAATTCCATCTTATTTATTTCTTTGCCTCTGTTTCTCTGTCTCTGTCTCTCTGTTTCTGTCTCTCTCTGTCTCTCTGTCTCTCTGTCTCTCTCTCTCTCTCTGTGTGTGTGTGTGTGTGTGTGTGTGTGTGTGTGTGTGTGTATTTGTCCCATGGTGTATATGCAGATGTCAAAGGACAACTTATGAAAACGGGTTTTCCTCTTCCATCATGTGGGTCCCAGGGATTAAACTCAGGCCATCAGTTTTATCGGGAGGTGCCTTTTCTCACTGAGCTAGCTCACCAGCTCCTATGTAAGATTCATGGTTGATAGTTAAACAAGGTTGTGCTTGCTGGAACTGAAAGCTTTGCTGTTATTGATGCAAATTAGAATCCTGCCCTTTTACATTCCACCCACAACCATCTGGCTCTATAGCTAGGCTGCTTGCTACACTTTAAAATATGTTCTGAAATCACATTTGTTTATTTATTTATTCTGTGGGTATGCAAATATGCAATGCAACAGTAAATATGTGAAGGTCAGAGAACAATTTTTTAATGGTCAGTTCTCTCCTTCCTCCAACAGGGTGCTGGGGATTGAACTCAGGTGGCCAGACTTGGTCTAAAGTGTTCAGGCTTGGTGGTAAGCACCCTTACTTGCTGAGCCATTTCATTCTGTCTGTCTCTCTGTACTGTTGGGGACTGAGGGTTCCAGTGCCCAGGACTGAGAGTTATAACAGCAGCCACTGTTAGGGACCAAGTGTGTGATTTCCCTAGACACAGCCTTAACTGACACTAAGTTCTCCTCATGTGAATGGCCATAGAGAGATGGGGAGTATGCTAGCAGCGGTGAGCCAGACCCAGGTAAGGAAGACCCACAGCAATAAACACCTTCCTAAGAGCCTGGAACTATTAGTCTCTGGCTTCTGAGGCTTGGAGCCATGATAACCACTGATCCAACTTCAATCCTGAGACCTATCATGCTCATGAGCTACAGAGACAAGTTTCTGAAGTTGTTAGACCAGTCCATAAACCTGGTACTCAAAGGCCTGGGGTGCCAAATCTTACTCACGAGTTCCATCCAGCTACAGCAAAAGGACCCAAGCTAGCTGATTGGTAACAAATTATGTCAAATATTTTGTCACGGCATTGAAAGACTGACTAGCAGTGAAATAAGAGATTTAGAGCATTGTGCATTGTTGTGAGGTATCTACCAGAGAAGACCACTCTGACATAGGTTCAGGCCAATAGAAAGTCTGTATTAGCCGATTGACCACTGTACTGGGTTGGCTGTTCACTGTCTAGAACCTTTCTTGGGCTGAGATTTTAAGCACAGAAATGACATCCTGGGTTGACACACCTCAGTTAGCAAGAATAGTTATCCAGAAGTAGAACTACAGAAGCCAAAAAGCAAGGTACATTTAGAGACTTCCCCAGAACTATGGGCTTTGATGGGTGAGGTCTTGTTGGCAGGTGTTGCTTGGTTCCAAGGCCTGGATGGTACTTCCGTCATAGCATCAGTCGTGCTAAGATTTAGGGGTCTTTACAGCATGACTGTAGGGAGAAACCCTGATTAAAGGCGCTGCTGACCACACCCACTTGGGCGTGGTCAGAGTTACCTGACATGGGTTTAAGGAGGAAGGCACACCTGTGGCTCTCTTTTTGCCTGGCTAAGCTGACTAGGAAGCATTTTGTGCCTCTGTCCTGCTCCGGTGCAAACCTGGTCACTGGTTCCCTTGCCTGGATACTTTTTCCCAAGAAACTACTGTTTATCAACCTATTTCTGACTACTTTGTAAACATCAATACATGACCATCCTTTGAACCAAGCAACCTCTATCTTGGAGAGATCAGCTATGCCCACTTGCAAATTATCACCACCATCTACGATATGTGGCTTTGCCCTATTTGAACATGGCCTCTGGAGGGGCGAGAGTATATTGGCTGGGGAAAACTAGGGGATTGTGGGGAGCTCATTCTGCTGGCTAAAGGTTTTCCAGATATGGACTTGGTGGGGAGAAGTACCCACACCCCTGTAAGTAGCCCCTCACCCACACTCTGTAAGGAAGTCCAATTAACTCATTGTTCTCCAGTGTAAACTTTGGTGGAATTGTGCCTCAGTTTGTCATTGGGACTTTAGGTTGAGGTAAAAATTATTTATATTTCCTACAGGGAAGGGACTTTAGCAACAGAGAAATAGAAGGAGAGCCAGTCATGGTAGTGCAGACAGAGGCAAGTATTCTGTGCGAGTCTGAGGCCAGCCTGATCTACATAGCAAGTTATAGGCCACCCAAGCTATATATTAACACACACACACACACACACACACACACACACACACACACACACACACGGGTGACAGATGAATGAATGTGTGAATGAATAAAGAATACTGATTTAGAAAAAAGAAAAAAGGGCCAGCAGGATGGGCTTAGTTAGTGAAACTCTTGCAATGGAAAACCCAAGACTTGAGTTAAGAGTCCCAGAACCCAGGTATAGAAGGAGAAAACTGACTGCATGAAATTGTTCTCTAGTCTCCACATACATGTCATGGATCACACACCCTCAATAATGTAAAAAAAAAAAAAAACCAACAAAAAACAAAACAAGCAATGACTATTGTTCTTTTGCTTCAAATGCTAGAATAAAGCTGGAGGGGGGTTCCATGGCAGATTCCATGGCCGGCAAGGGTGATCGAGGCGGGGGACAAACACTCCAGGCAGACAGAGCTTGAGTGAGAAGTTTTATTAGAAAGGGGGAAGTAAAGAAAAAAGAGGTAAAGAGACACAAAGACATGGAGGGAGGTCAGAAGAGAAGAGGGAGACAGGAGCAGAAAGAGAGGAGAGCGGAGAGAGAGAAAGAGCAGAAAAAGCAGAAAGAAGAGTAAGAGCAGTAAGAGAGCAGAAAGAACAATAAGAGGGGGAAAGAGCAGAAAGAGAGCAAGAGAGAGTAAGTGGAAGGGGGTCTGTCTTTTAAAGGTGTCCTTTGCACCTGCTTGCAGACAAGTACTCATGGAACCCTGGGCTGACCAGGGTACTTATTGCCTGAGTGCATTCTGCCAGATGACAGCGACAGGCCAACATAATGCCTGAATCCTTACAATGACACCCCCCCCCCCAGAGTCCCATCAGATGAGACCCCTCCAAGGCTATTGCCAACTCACAATCAACTGAAACCTCCCACCCAGGAGCCCAATAAATAGTCTATTTTTTAAGTTGATTATCTCAGTATTTTGTCACATGATATAAAAGTTGACTAATATACTCCAAGTTGAAAATACATGAATATGCCTTAAAGTTGACCTTACAATCCAAATTTGATTGGGTCTTCTGTATTTTATCCCTACAAAGTTGGTGGAGACATGTATGAAAGTGATTGTAGTAGTATTGTTATGATAGCAAAACCTAGAATATAAATAAATTCCAAGAGGGAACAGTGAATAAATTGTGTAGTAATTCAACAAAGTATTAATTCAATAAAACATTAGGCAGCAGAGAAAATGAAGAACTATCACTATAAAGTAACAGCATGAATACATCTTGAAATGTTAAGTTTAAAGTTAACTTTAAGAATATGAATTGTAGATTGCAACTCCATTTTCATAAAATTCAAAATCAACTACAAAATAAGTATACATGCCGACTTCAACTTTTGACCTCCACATGGGCCTGCAGGTGTGTTCGTGAAAACACACACACACACACACACACCCATAGAAACAATCAAAGAAATGCACCAATTCTTGCACACTCTTAAATAACTTTTCTAAATATCAGTATGACTTCCAAACAGAAACACAGTTTCAAATACAGAATGCTAAACAACAACAAACTTCTGGGAGAAGCTAAAACATCAAACATCCGGAGAGCCGATCCAGCCAAACCGTAGTGTGTCAAGTGCTCTTTACTAAATACTGTGCTAGATTGTTAGCGGCAACAAGGGAAGAAACAGCAATTGTTTCCGAGAGAGAGGTTGAATATTAATTACTAGTAATAAAGCCACAAATTGAACACCCAATTAAACAAGTATACACTGTAGGGGATCTTGGCGATCAGGAAGAACAAGGTGAGTTCCTTTCCTAAGAAGTTCTCTTTAGATCCTCTTCTCATTTGGAGCGAGGTTGGGGTGGTTGGCTTGTCACTGTAGGGTCACTTTAAAGACAGGAAGGCAGGTTAAGGCCAAATTATAAGAGCCAGGTGGCAATGAAGACTTAAGATTTTTTTTTTGGGGGGGGACGCCTCACTGTTCATTGAAATCAAAAGTCTTCACGTTCTACCGACTGAGCGAGCGGGCACATTACTTAATATTAAATGAATTAATTTATTGTGAGTCAGGGTCTTTTTATGTAGTCCTGGATCTCCTGTAAATCACAGAAATCCTCCCGCCTCTGTCTCCCGAGTGCTGGTATTAAAGGCGTGTGCGACCACGCCCGGCTTCTTCGTTGAACTTAAAAAGAGCTGATCTCTGCACAAATGTTTGGGCAAACGTCAACAAAGAGCTCCGCGTTTTCACGCACGCGCGAAAAGGGCTGCAGGAGCTAGGAGTGGCCCGGATGAAGGCGGGGCTTGAGGTCCCGGATAATACGTCATGGGGGCGCGTGTGAGATGCAGCTGGGTTGGCGCGTTGGGACCCGGTTCCGGATGGCGGTGGTTTGCCAGTGGTGAGCGAGCATGGAGACCGCTGCGGACGCCGGGACCCGTCCCGTGGGCGCGGGGACGCTTGCAGGCGCGGGGACCCCGCCAGGCTTGCAGACCGACTGCGAGGCGCTGCTCAGCCGCTTCCAAGAGCTGGACAGCGTGCGCTTCGAGGACTTCGCGGAGCTCTGGCGCAGCATGAAGTTCGCTACTATCTTCTGGTGGGTGTGCCTTGTTGCCCGACCTCCGTCTGGGGATCTCCCTGGCTTGCTCCCCTCCATCACCCACCTCCCCCATCCGCACCCAGCCCTTCGACCTCCTCCAGTTTTGTTCGCCCTGAATGAATCTACGGTTAGAAACAAAGCAACCACAGAGAGACAGGGTCCTCCACGAATGGATTCATTTGGCATGCAACAACCAAACCTGGAAGTGCAGATTTGAGCCTCTGTTGAGCCGCCTAAAGGTGATAAAGCCCAGCTTCAGCCCAGTGGCTGCTTCTGTCCCCAGCCTCATTTCCACTGCTCACATCTTATGTCACTTTCCTGCCCCCGGCGCGTCCTAGCCTGGGAGTTTCCGCCCTCTTTTTGCTTGTTCACTTCTTCAGGCATATTTAAACACAGATGACAGTTCTTGGGAAGTCTTTTGCTCTTCTTGACTAAGTGAGAGTTCGTATTCTATCTAACCCCCCCTCCCCCCCGCAAGCCCCAAGTTCTTGTCTCACCTGCCACGTTATATTGCATAATGGTGAAGAGCACAAATGATGGGTCCCAGGTATTAGAATTTGAATTCAGGTCCCCAACTCTTCCCCCACCGAGATCTGGGACAATATTATTATTATTATTATTTTTTGTCTGTGGAATAGGCATACAAAACTTCATAGTAGTGTGATGAGGATTGAATGAGCCAATATATCTGGTGTGTTTCATGTTCGAAATTAATGTTCAGCGTTATCACTAACTTTTTGATTCCCCCCTTGGACTGATCTTTGTGGAACAGCGACTCGATACATTTCTTCTTGTTGTTTTTGTTTTTTGATTCTTGACCTCATTGTGTAGCTCCAGCTGGCCTGAAATTTGCCATCTAAACCACACTGGCCTTGACATCTGCCTGCCTCTTTCTTTCAAGGGCTGGCATTACAGGCATTCACCACCATTCCCAGGTTTGAATATGGTGTTTGCATTAATTGTCATAGCGTATCCATTATTGAAAAAGCTAGATGATTGAATGAAACTTCATTAGAACTTTTTGCTGAGTAAAATAGATAAATAAAAATTAATTCTAGCCGGGCGGTGGTGGCGTACACCTTTAATCCCAGCACTCAGGAGGCAGAGGCAGGTGGATCTCAGTGAGTTCAAGACCAGCCTGGTCTACAAGACTACAAGAGCTAGTTCCAGGACAGCCTCCAAAGCCACAGAGAAACCCTGTCTTGAAAAAAAAAAAACCCCAACCCCCCAATTAATTTTAGTTATGTAAACTAATTATTGTGTAGTTTGTAAATTACAGGGATGAGGGATGAAGATATTAACTGGTCATGGTGCTGAATACCTCTAAGCCCAGAATTGGGGGAGGTGGAGGCAGGAGAATCAGGAGTTCAAGGCCATCCTTAACTACAAAGAGAATTCCAGACCAGTCAGGCTATAGGATACACTGCCTCAAAAAAACAAATAACAACAAAAACTGTTTACTGTACAACTAATCTTTTATATGCATAACTGTAATGCACTCACTGTTTAATATACTTATAACAAAACTCTGAAAAGCAGCTATAATTGTCCATATTTTAGAGGTTAGAAAATAGAAGCTTTTTGTTTTTGTTTTGAGACAGGATTTCTCTGTGTGGCTCTGTCTTGGAACTCTCTCTGTACACTAAGTTGGCCTCGAACTCACAGAAATCTGCCTGCCTCTTCCTCCCAAGTGGGTTTAAAGGTGTGTACTACCACCACCTGGCTAGAAAATTGAAGCTTTAAGATTTAAGGAAGTTAATTTCACCAAGTGTGGTGGCATAGGCTTGTAATTAGATTGATCAGGAGGATTTCAAGTTTGAAGTCAGCTTGGGCTGTAAAGTGAGACCCCATCTTAAAAAATATCTAAACCAATGCTTTCCTGTTCCTGTTCCTTTTTAAATTTAATTAAATGTTATTTATTTACATATTATTATTATTAGAGACAAGGTCTTACTGTGCAGTCCTGGCTGGCCTGGAATGTACTGTGTTGACTAGGATGGCCTCTGATGGGATTAAAGATGTGAACTACTCCTGGCTGGAGAGATGGCTTAACACTTAAGAGCACAGGCTGTTCTTCCTAGAGGACCCAATTCAGTTCCCAGCACTCACATGGCAACTGTCTATAACTTCAGTCCAGGGGATCTGGCACCCTCACACAGACATACATGCAGGCAAAACACTAGTGCACATAAAAATAAATAAATCTTAAAAAAAAAGAGTGACAACAGGCCAAATGAATGAGGGTACTCATAGACCCCAATTATTTAAGCCTTGGGTGGTAGCACATACCTTTAATCCCAGAGGGATTAATTTGGGAGGCAGAGGTAGGTGGATCCCTGTGAGTTAGAAGCCATCTTGGTCGAAAAGCAAGTTCCAGGACAGCCAGGACAACATAAAGAAACCCTGTCTTGAAAACCAAAAACAAAAAAATAAAAGTACACACCACCTTGCCGAGCCTATTTTCTATCTTTTTTGTCTTTTCTGTTTCTAAAATCCATAATCTTTCACTGTAGTAAAGGGGGAGGGGGTGACACCAAGGAAGTTTATCTAGGTTATTCTACTAGAGGGGGTGGTGGTGGACTTTCTTCTTCTTCTCCTTCTCCTCCTTCTTCCTTCTCCTCCTCTTCCTCCTCCTCCTCTTCCTCCTCTTCCTCCTCCTCCTCCTTCTTCTTCTTCTTCTTTTTTTTTTTTTTTTCCTGAGACAGCATCTCTCTGTGCAGCCCTGATTGTCCTGGAACTCATTATGTAGACCAGGCTAGCTTCAAATTCAAAGAAATCCATCTGCCTTTGCCTCCTGAGTCTGACAGCTGGGATTAAAGGCATGTGCTGTTACACCTTGCTGGATTTTCTTTAGTAATCATTTTGGTCTCGATATTGTGGTAGGTATTTCATGTTCTTTTATTGTACTTATTATATTTATTGTTTGAGAGCCAAAGTGGTCTCCTCCCCCATTTGTAGAAAGATGTAAAAGATTGCACTGGCTAAAGGGCTTAGGTCTTTATTTTATTTTGCTGCTATTAAATGACAAATGCAATATATTTATAGTTATGTGAATGTCAGTTGCTTGCATGTGTAAATGTGTTTTCAGGCATTTTAACTAAGGTTATATTTAAAGACTGACTTTGTTTTATCAAAATAGGATCTGGCCATGGCAGTCTGCCTCTTGTCTTCTGAGTGCTGGAATTACAGTCTGGGACACCATGCCCAACTTCTTGTTTTGTTTGACACTGAGTCTCTTGTAGCCCAAACTGGACTTGACCTCAGTATGTAGCCAAAGATGACCTTAAACCTTTTGATCCTTCTGCCTCCATTTCCCAATTTCTGGCTTTTTATAAATGGGGAACATTTTTAATCTGCTAATTTAGGGTCTATGGTAAAACACTAACACAATATGTTCAAAGTTGCCTTCATTTTTTAAATAATTTATTTATTTGTATTTTATGTACATTGGTGTTTTGCCCGGATCTCTTGGAACAGTTGTAAACTGCTGTGTAGGTCTGGGAATTGAACCCAGGTCCTCTGGAAGAGCAGCCAGTGCTCTTAACCGCTGAGCCATCTCTCTAGCCCCACCTTCATTGTTTTATTCAGTTTTAAGAGGAACATCACACTGGCTTTGTGTTCTGGTGAATGGGAGGATTGGTTGTGTTGGGTTATTTCTCTTAACTTATATTTAAGCCTTCTGTTTTGGAATATTTGTACACCATGTGAAGATGTGTTGCTGTGCTTGGTGTATGTAATAAAAAGCTGAATGGCCAGTATCTAGGCAGGAGGAGGTAGGCAGGATTTCTTCGGTAAGAGAGAAACTTGGAGGAGGAATCTAGGTAAGGCATTTGCCAATAGACTGGAGCAAGCTGGACATGCTGTACTGAGGAAGGGTAGAAGCCACACAGCTTCTACAGCAAAATGTAGATTAATAAAAGCAGGTTAATAAAGTTATCAGAGTAGTTGGGAACATCCTTTAAAAGATGTTCATGATTGCTATTTGGGGCTGGTGATCCAAAAATAGTCTGACAAGAAAGCTTGCTGCATCCTTCCAGGGACAGAAAACTGCAAATGCTGGAGCCTGTTGGGGAAGTGCATGTTACCGAGTAAAATGCACAGTTTTTGAGTCTGTAACAACCATGACTGTTTTCACAGTAAATGTTTTAAATTACGAATCTGAAGCCTCTTCTACAGTCCTCAGTTTGGCAGCAAGGCTAGTGTTTTGGTGGCAGTGTCACAGTTACCTGACTCTGTGGTGACAAGCGTGGTAGAAAATGAGTTCTTTCTGCTTGGCTCTCAAGAGGATCAGGGGTGGCTTCTCCATTAGTCTCCAGCAGTTACAGTAGCATGTGCCCCCGTTAACTTTTGCCCATGTTTATGTAACAGTGGTCATATTTCCTTTTTGTTTTACAGTGGCAAGATGAGGAACTTGAAAAAGAACATGTTTACAAAAGAGGCTTTAGCTCTGGCCTGGCGCTATTTTTTGCCTCCATACACCTTCCAAATCAGAGTTGGTGCTTTGTATCTACTATATGGGTTGTATAACACGCAGCTGTGTCAGCCAAAACAAAAGGTTGGTGAATTAGTTTCCCCCAGTAGAAACTTGAACCAAGCACTGTATTTTAAAAATAATAAAGGACTTAGGTGGAAATACTGTGTTTTTTGAGTTTTCAATACTGAAAAAGGATCCAGTCCATTTTACACGGTGGCTTTTCTCCTCCTGGTTGTAGATCAGAGTCGCCCTGAAGGACTGGGATGAAGTTAATAAATTTCAGCAAGACTTGATAAATGCACAGCATTTCGACGCAGCCTTCATTTTCAGGAATCTTCGACTGGACAGAGCCTTCCACTTCACAGCAATGCCCAAGCTGGTATGTTGCCTTAAAACAAAACAAAACAAAACAAACAAAAAGACATGTATTTTCAAAACAAGCAGTTACATTTTGTTGTCCATGGCCTGCTTCAATTCTCCTGGAAATGTGAAGTCTATTAGTGGTGATCAAAACTGTAGCCCTTCTTATAATAAGAAAAATGTTTTCTGATTGTTTTCTTTTCCCTGCAGACAGAATTGAGCCTCTGCTCTTGAGTGCAGGGTGTTTCTGGATTTCACACATGATGCCAGTTGTTGTGAATGGGCAGAGATCTGGCATCTGTATCTGTCTGTTTTTTTGTTTGTTTTTTTTTTTTGGGGGGGGAGGACAGGGTTTCTCTGTGTAACAGTCCTGGCTGTCCTGGAACTCACTTTGTAGACCAGGTTGGCCTCAAACTCACTGAGATCCACCTGCCTCTGCCTCCTGAGTGCTGGGAATAAAGGTATGTGCCACCACCGCCTGGCTTGTACATCCATTTTATCTCCACAGCTGAGGGTTCAGTCCCAAGCTAGGAAGTTAACAGCCACTGAGCTGCCCTGTTGTCTTTCTGCATTTGTGTGGGAATGTGCAAGTGTGCCTTTCTACATTTGAGTATCAAGAGGGCTTGACAAAGGTATTTAAAGCTCAGTTGGTAAAAAGTTGAAATTTGTAATAAAACCCTCCATTTCTTGAGTTTTGTAACAATTGAGACACTAGATCGGAGGACCAAATCTTTCCAGCAAATCATGTGACTTTTCAAAGCTAGGTAGATTCTGTAGCTTGCAGTGTGGCATCTGATACTTACAAATACCTGATAGGCTCTGGAAATGGATAGCCAACAAGTGTGCTTGTAGAGACTTTCTTCTACTGATGTGAATTTATTCCTCGCTTATATTTAAGCACTTTAAAAATATCCTTTAAAAGATGTTTAACATTTTTGAAAAATTTTTATTGTTGGGTGTGTGTTTATGATGTTGTAGCTGGTTCATGTTCCATTGTGCACATTCCACTGTGCGTGTGTGTAGGTATTGGGACAGCTATGTGGTTGTTCTCTCCTTCAACCTTGATGGGCATTCTAGGGATCTACTCAGCTGAGCAGGCTTGCTTAGCAAATGCCTTTGCTCTTGAGTCATCTCTCCAGTCCAAGATGTTCATTTTAAAAGACATTCTTTGTATTTAGCTTTCATGTAGAATGAAGAAAAAAATTCAGCAAACTGAAGTGACCCAAAAGTTTAAGGACCCAAGTGATCGTGTAATGAAACTTATCACTTCTGATGTATTAGAGGTGAGTTTGTCCTTATACTCTTGAAGCTGGGCAAGTGGTTTTATTGACAATATATACAGAGGTTATACTTTTCATTAACTGGGTATTGACAGTTTCTGTAATGATGTTAACATAGTCACTTTGGAAAGTAATTATATTTTGAATTAGTGTGTGTAAGATTAATGTCTCTTTATTCCAGAATACACCAAGGTAAAACACAGGCCGGAGCTAGGTTATAGAACCCAGCCAGCGTGGCCAGAACAAAAGGGCCCCGGGTCCCCACGTGCAGCCCCTTAAGAAGCTCCCTTACGTCGCCCCGGCTTTCCTTCACCACGCCCTTCTGGGCGAGTCCCCGGATCCACCTGGTACCTGCCCCAGGACTATTGGGCGGGGCTAGGGTGACTCCCTACAAGTGTGCCTTTAAGATTGTCCTCAAAGATGGAAATAAAGGACCAAGTATGGTGGTGCATGCCTACCATTATACCATTAGCCTGAGCTACATAGCAAGACCTTGTCTCTTAATATAAAACAAAATAACACACACACACACACACACACACACACACACACACA